AACTTAACTCCATTCAATACAATATTGGCTGTGGGTTTACTGTAGATGGCCTCTATCAGTTAAAGAAATGTCTCTTCTATACCCATTTTCTTAAGTGTTCTGATCATCAAAGGATGCTGGATATTATCAAAAGCTTTTTCTGCATCTATTAAGAGAATCATATGGTCTTTGTTTTTTAATTTGTTTATGTGCTGCATTATATTTATAGATTTATGTATTTTGAACCAGACTTGAGACCCTGGGATGAAACCCACTTGGTTGTGGTATATAATTTGTTTGATGTGTTGCTGGATTCTGTTTGTTAGGATCTTGAATATTTTTGCATCAATGTTCATTAGTAATATTGGTCTATGATTTTCTTTTCTGGTTGGGTCTTTTCCTGGTTTGGAGATCAAGATGATGTTTGCTTCATAGAATGTGTTGGGTAGTATTCCTTCTTTTTGTATATTTTGGAAAAGGTTGAGTAATATAGGTATTAGTTTCTCTTTAAAGGTTTGGTAGAATTCTGATGTGAAGCCATCTGGTCCTGGGATTTTCTTTTTAGGGAGATTTTGTTTAGTTGATGCTATTTCAGAACTTTATGTAGGCCTGTTCAACATTCCCACTTCATTCTGGCTACATCTTGGAAGGTGGTGTGCTTTCAAGTATTGGTCAATTTCCTTCAGATTTTCGTATTTCTGAGGATAAAATTTCTTGTAATATTCATTAAGGATTTTTTTAATTTCTGAGGAGTCTGTTGTTATTTCATGATTACCATTTCTGATTGATGAAATTAGAGATTTTACTTTTATTTTCCTGTTAGGTTGGGCAAAATTTTATCTATTTCATTCACCTTTTAAAAAAACCAACATTTTGATTTATTGATATGTTGTATAACTCTTTTGTTTTCAATTTCATTTAATTTTGCTCTAATTTTGAGTATTTCTTATGCTGTGATTAGGATTGGAATGTTCTTCCTTTTCCAGTTGCTTGAGACATCCCATTAGGTTGTTAACTTCCTCTCTTTCTGTTTTCTTGAGGAAGGCTTGCAGTGCTATAAATTTCCCTCTTAGGACTGCCTTTTCAGTATCCCAATAGGTTCTGACGATTCATGTCTTCATTATTGTTTTGTTCCAAAAATTTGGTAATTTCCTTCTTAATCTCATCTATGACCCATCTATCATTTAGGATAAGGTTATTTAGCTTCCATGTTTTTGTATGAATCTGCAGATTCCTGTTACTGAGTTCAACTTTTATTCCATGATGGTCTGAGAAGATGCAAGGAATAATTTCTATTCTTTTAAATTTGCTGAGGTTAGGCTTGTGACCTAAGATGTGATCAATTTTGGAGTATATTCTGTGGGCTGATGAGAAGAATGTGTATTCAGTTTTGTTAGGATAAAATGTTCTGTATATGTCTGTTAAATCCAAACGTTGAATGGTTAAGTTTAAATCTCAAATTTCTTTGCTTAGCTTCTTATTGCAGGATCTATCCAACACTGCCAAAGGAGTGTTAAAATCTTTGACTTTTATGGAGCTGGAGGAAATCAAGTTGCTCATGTCCATTAATGTCTCTGTTATAAATTGAGGTGCATTCTGATTGGGTACATAAATGTTAATAATTGAAATATCATATTGACTATTAACACCCTTAACAAATATGAAGTGACCACTCTTATCTTTCCTTTTGTTGGTTTAAAGCCTATTGTATCTGTGAATAAAATTGCAACACCTTCTTTTTTCTGATTTCCATTTGCCTGAAATATAGATGACCATCCCTTCACCCTGAGTCTATATTTACCTTTTAAGGTTAGATGAGATTCTTGTATGCAACAGATATCTGGCCTGAGTTTTTGTATCCAGTCAGCCAACTTGTGCCTCTTTAGAGGACAATTTAGACCATGCACATTAATTGAGAATAGAGTTAAACATCTTGATAGTAAAATTTATAAATATGTATGTACACATCTGACTATAATTATCAAATATACCTTCAGATAATTTTGATAATATAAATATGATATTTAAGTGCTACTTATGTGCCAGACATTGTGCTGAATGTCTCAGCATCATGGTTATACATCTCTCACAGGCATCCTAATTACAAAGCCTGTAACTCCCAACCTCTACCCATGTTCCTGTCCAGTAGCATGTGGGCCAGTCATGAGGACTGAAGTTCTCTACATCAGCTCACTGAATTCAGTGACAGCCACCACTGATAATGGTCATGAAAGGAGCTTTGCAAGGCCTCTGTTTTCATTCTTTTATGTTGGCTAAGTTACTAGGGATCATTTGGAATTGATTGCTTTCAACTAAGATTCACACAGAGAAGAAATAGGAAAATGTTGAGGATGGTCACAGAATTTGTTCCTCCTAAATAGCTCCAACATTCCTTCCTGTACTGGGGACATCTTCTGAGGACTTGTCTGTGGTCAGTCCTCCTTCCCTCTGTCCCTCTCTTTCTGTGGTATGTATACTTTCATATCTCCATTATAGGAATTATATTATTTAAAAAATTGAATTATTTATGGAGTAATTAGGTTATGAGATAGTTAAGGGTGTGATCTGGCTGAATTTCTAGCATAGTATCTTGCACAACTGTTGCTTCAAATGAGTAAATGCAGGAACAGAAGCTGAGAGAAATTCTAGGTCTGATAGGGACATGTGGGCAAAAATAGCCTTCTCAGGGGATGAATGTAGGGCATGTGGCTTAGTTACCCATGCACACAGGCTTGATGTGCCATAAATATGCTTCTCTCCCCTTCCCAGGGAGTACTCTTGCTCCTGCCTGTAGCCTTTTGATCCTTGTCTGAATTGGACCAGAAATCTATTTTCTGTAGGAGTCCTTCTGTGTCAGGTAAAAGACACCAAGCAACCAGTCTCCCCCTCTGCTATTAGTGACCTCCTTGGGTGGTTCACTGAATTAATGTCACTGTGAACTTGTTAATGGTGTCTCATTATAGAATTTGCCATTCACTGCCAACTGTTACAGAGCAGAAAATTCCTTCCTTTTTAGTGTTCCTTTAAGTCCCTTTCACATGGTTTTCCTGTGAGGTCCCATCAGGTTTAGCAGCCACATGTGCCTTCCCTTCCTGCTGCCATTAATGACATGCCCACCAGAAGGAGGAACAACACCCTGGCCTATCAGATCCATAAATTGCTTGGATTGTGGATCTCAAAGGAAAAGTCAGTATAGACCCCTTCTCTAATTGCTCATGTGATTAGCGTATCCCTATTTTATACATTCTTTTTTCTATAATTAAGGGGCAATAATTAGGAGATAGGGAAGAATTTTTAGAAAGTGGACTCATCTAGAATAGGAAACCTCAGTGGACTTAACAGGGTCACATCCCCCCCAAACCACTATGGTGTCACAGCCGAACCCTACCAGGATGGCGAGCAGTGGCTGTGCTAATCAGTGAGATGGAGAGAAGAGTTCAAGCCCTCCTTCCTTTCTCTTTCATTGAAGTATTTTTTCGTCCACATCTTTTCCCATGTTCTCTACAAGAAATAGTGCTGGATCCAAGAGACTCAGTCTCCTTTGTCCTAACCTCTAACAACCACATTGTGACAGGTGGCGTCTTGGCTCAGAGCCAACTGCTGAAGAGCAGTTTCTGAGGGGTTCTTTGGTGATGTGCAGGACAGTTATTCAGGTGATTAACTAGCCTCTATGTAGGTCAGGAAAGAAATGTTGTCCTGAGATTTCCTTTTCTGTCACAAGTCAAGATTCTTTACCGACCAGGTTAGATGGAGTGATTCATTAGTGGACACTTTTGACTTCTTACTATTGAACTGAAAATTCTTGCTCAATAGAAATTGATACTGACTTTTTCCCTTGTCCTGAATTATGTTAAACAAATGAGTAGGATGACTTATCTTTTCAGTGCCACACTAACTCCTCTTTATGGTAAGAATGAGAAATCAGAATCCAGCACTTCCCCATTTCCAGTAACTGACTCCTTGGAAATATTGCTACAGCCATGGAAAGTATGTCTCAGTGCTCACTTCAGCAGCACATGTACTAAAATTGGAACAATGCAGAGAAGATTAGCACAGTCCCTGCACAAGGATGATATGCAAATTTGTAAAGCGTTCCATATTTTTAAAGTCAAAAAAGACAAAGATGGTTACTTCATACTGGTCAAGGGAACAATACAACAAGAGAATATTTCAATTCTAAACATTTATTCACCCAACGTAAATGTTCCCAGATTTATGAAACAGACCTTAATTGATCTGAGCAATATGACATCCTATAATACCATAATAGTTAGGGGACTTTAACAATCCTCTTATAAAGCTGGACAAATCCTCTAAACAGAAACTGTACAAAGACACAAGGGACTTAAATGTGACCCTAGAACAACTGTGCTTAATAGACAAATACAGACCCCTCCATCCCAAAGCTAAGGAATCTATGTTCTTCTCGTCAGCCCATGGAACAGTCTCTCAAATAGACCATATCCTAGGACACAAATCAAACCTCAACAAAATAAAAAACATAGAAGTTATACCTGTACCTTCTCCTTCTCAGACCACAAGGCAGTAAAAGTGGAACTCAACTCCAACAAAAATTGTCATCCCCACAGAAAGGCATGGAAACAACCTTCTGTTGAATGACAGTTGGGTGCAGGAAGAGATACAAAAGGAAATCATTAACTTCCTCGAGCATAACAACAATGAAGACACAAGATACCAAAACCTATGGGACACTGCAAAAGCACTCCTAAGAGGGAGATTATCACATTAGATGACTATACCCGAAAAATAGAGAGCATATCAACAACTTAATGAATCATCCTAAAGATGACTATTGGACAGTTAATATGAACTCACTGAATCCTCAGTAGTGACTTTAGGTTATCCTGATTATCTCTTTGTAGGTACCTGGGAGAAAGAGTATAGTGAAAACACATGACTGTATAGGCATATGAATGCATAACTCGAGTACTTATCAGACACTGTTCTGCTTTACATATTTTAAATCTGTTTGTCCACTGGAATCATAATGGAATACTTATTATAATGTCCCTTCACACTATTAAAGTATCCGCCCATCTAAAGTAGGTGATATTATTACTGATATTTTGCCTAAGGCCATATTATGACTAAAAAGTGGAACCAGAGATGGGTTGTAGGCAGTCAAGTCCAAGGTCATACCTTAATGTTTATGCTAATCATCTATTCCTTGCAGATTGAGAAGCTGGCTATGCAGCCATCAGTACCTGCCACAGCATCAATGATCAAGGTACAAATTACAAAATTTGATACCTCAGGGCTTCTTCCTCTTATTCTGAAATAGCTGGGTCCCTGCTATGTCAGAAACAAAGACAAAGTTTAGAGGTCATGGTGAACATAGAAGCAAGAGGCAAAAACAACCCTACCCTCTAAATTTCTCTCGGATCAGCTCCTGAGTGGTTTTTGTTTTTTTTTTTTGTTTCTGGCTGGGGCTGGGTTTGAACCCCCCACCTCCTACATATGGTACCAGTGCCCTACTCCTTTGAGCAACAGGTGCCGCCCTGTTGTGTTTACTCAAGATGAATGAAGAGAAATGACTAGAACATGCATCTTCCTTGGTAAGTTCCTAATCATTTCAGCATATCAAGGACTGAGATCTTTGGTGGGGGAGAAGGGGAGGTACAAAGATGTATTAGACAATATGTCGGCCCTCAATATCTCTACTTCTCTGTCTTCTGGTGAAATACACTTAAACTCATCAAGGGCAGGGGTCTCCTCTGGATCATCTAGTTATCCCTCTCCTTACTCCAAGCTTAGGGTGCAGAAGGGTCACCATACCTCCTTGAAATAATGGTCTTCTGGGCTGGCTCTGGTATAAGTTGAGTCTGGGCTTCCTGGAGACGGACAGCCTGAAGCCCCCAAATGCCTTGAGCCCAGTCGCTACCCTGTTAGCAAGAACTAGTATGTACCAGCAGGTGGCAGCAAACCTCTGCCTTTGCTCCTCTCCATCCTTTGCTGGTGGCGTGTTAGACAAGTGGCCTGGCTCACAGGTGCCCTGTCTCTTCCATTTCATGCCTTTGGGATCTAGTTCACTAAGAAATTCACCTCCATCTATAGCATCCTTAAGTAGTACCTCCTTCAGAATAAACTAAATTTTGGTAGAAGAAATTAGATTTTAATTAAAATGAGCCAAACTACTTGGGCAATTTTTGCAGGTTGTCTGTGTAATGGTGGCCACCTGGAGAGAGGTTGGGGGCAACCCAGGACAGAGCCATGGACAGAGCCCTGGCACTGCTTCAGCAGTTGCCCCTCCGCTGGGCCTCAGCTGCAGGGAAGGCAATGGGGAGGTGCTTCCCTCGAGGTGGGCGGCCTTCCCTCGAGGTGGCCGAGGAGAGTCTGTCTCACGTCTGAATCCCAGCATATTCAGTAGTAGTACCCCTTTGCACCCTTAGAGTGTTCTTGTTTAGATGGGACATTTTATGGTCGTGTGTGGCCTTGTTCACTAGCTGGGCACCAGGTGAGTACCAGGAGGGAATCAAAGGAATTCTGAAGCAGTCGCCTCCACAGCGTCTGGGACTAGAGGTGTGAATGAGGAGAGGTGGGGGCAGGACGAGGAGGTTTCCGGGCAGAGGAGAACTTTGGGGCCTGGAGAAAATGCTTTTCTTCCGAAGTTGGATGGTTTGTGGCAAAGCCTGAAGAACGTGGTCCATTTACTCGGTGCTCCCACATGCTCCCCACGCTGCTTCCCTTCTTCAAAAGACATGACAGGTGTCTGATTTACCAAAACCAGCCTTACATTCCCCAAACCAAAGAAGGGCACTGCCAAAAATACGGGGCATTCAGCCATGCCACCACGACTGTTAGAGGGGAGAAAGGTGGGGAAGGGGTCGCCTGATGCTCGGGGGGCTGTGCTATCAAATTGTCCAGGGGTGAAAAAGAGACGCTCATCACTGTGATCACTGAACTAAATAATGTGGGAATTTGATTAAATCTTAGGATTCTGAATTGGCTCAAAATCATTCTCTTTAATGGCAAGGTGCTCACTAGTTAGAAGCAAAACATGTCAGGAATAGGAATTGTGACCATTGAGGAAATCAGTTTTAAAGTTCAAAACAGAACACCCCCCTCCCTCCCAGCTCTTGGTGTGATTTGCATGTTACCAGAGCACAGAGATGGAGGCTCCCTGGACCGGGGTCCCAGTAGGTCTGGGAAGAAGAGCTCTACTTTTAACTCGCTCTGGGCCTTCTCTTCAGCAGACACTTTCTGTAGGCAGCAAGTCGTTGCCTGAAGTATCGATTCTTCTGGTGTTGACCAGCTAGCCTTTATCAGGACTCTGTAAAAGGGGTGTAAACTTGGAAATTTAAGGAGCTGAAGGCCTTCAGCCAGACAATATTTTCTACTAAAAGATGTATCTCCCTCTGAACATACCAGTGCTTTCCCCCTTTAATGAAGAAGATCTGATTTACCAAAAACAGTGAATCAAGACCACAAAGTGTGACTTTCTGCCTTTAGGACTAGTGAATCTGAAGGTCGACCTGAGGCACGGCCTGCACATTGGGGCAGTACTGTCATTACAGAGGGCCAGAGAGAGAGAGCTTTAGATGCATGGGCTCTGAAAAGATTACTGTACCAACCCCTTGTTATTAGGAGAAAATTCTACATCAAAATATAAGTGGAAGTTGGACAAGATCAGTAGTTTGGTTTTCCTATAAGATTATTTTGGAACATCAAATATCAAATTCTTTATTTTCTTATCCTTGTCTTCTCATTTTCTGCCCTGGCTTTGCTGGCAGAGTGCAGGTGGATGTTCTAATCTGCCCACTGGGTAACAGGGGAGCATTTCTCACCCCTAGGGTGGTGTTTGTTTAAATGTGCTCCTTGGGTCATCTGCATCAAATCGTGAGCGGAGCTTTGTAAATGGATACTCCCAGGGACCTCAGGCTTCTCCCAGAGCTAACTCCTCAGGACTCTAGGGTTGGAGAATCTGCTGCTTAATGAGCTCCCCAGCTTCTCATCTGATATCTTTTTTGTTATAAGTGCCTGGTACAATTTCTTGCATATAAGACAAGCTGCAGTGAAGTTGAAAGAACTATGAACTGTGGTCAGGAGATGAGTTTTATTTGTTTATTTTAAATTTTATTTTATTTAGAGATAGGGTCTTGTCTATTGTCCAAGTTGGAGTACAGTGATACAATCATAGCCCACTGCAGCCTTGAACTCCTGGGTTCAAGCAATACTCCTGGCTCAGCCTCCTGAGTAGCTGGGACTACAGGTGCCCACTACGATGGCTGGCTAATTTCTTTTTAGTACTAGGGTCTTGCTATGCTGCCCAGGCTGATCTTGAACTCTTAGTCTCAAATGATCTTTCTGCCTCAGCTTCCCAAGGCATGAGTCACTGTACCTGGCCCAGAGATGGATTTTATTGGTGACACTGGTACCACAAAGTATTCTCACCCCAAGTAGAACTCATTACATATTTATTTGTGCACTTGTATCTGAACATATTTCCCTGCTGATAAAATGAGTTGCAACTGTTCATTTCAGCTGTGAAATCCTATAACTCTCTGTAGCTACTTTTATACCTAGTCAGATATGATTTCAGATGCCAGTAACATGAAAAATAATGGCTAAACAGTACAACTGTATTAAAAGTAAACCTGGTGACGAGTGACAAGCAAACGTAGGATTTAAAGTGCGGGCTCTGGAGCCAGACTGCCTGGGTTCACAGCCTGGTGTCAGCACTGACTAGGTGTGTGGCTTCTCTGTTTCTCAGTTATTCAACTTTTCTCATTTAGAAAATAGGGATAATAATGCTATTTACCTCACAGACTTGTAAGAATTGAGTGAGTGAACTTAGGATTAGTATTTTCAACAGTCTGGCACACGGTGTGTTCAAGAAATGTTAGCTGTTACAATTATGTCTCCCAGGTTTGTGTTCTTAGTCCATGCAAAGTAAAAGACTTAGAGAGGAGAGGCCATTTCTGTAAGGTGTGGTGTGGCGTCTCGTTCCCCAGGTGCGCCTGCGAGTCGCC